TAAATTGTGAAAGGTGGTTGTATCTTGTGCATAAGGGGGGAAAAAAGGGAATCGTGCATTTTGAGCGTGTTCTTTCTTAGCATGAAAGTGTAGCTCTGGCACTTGCAAGAGAAGATGATGCTTTACCAATCTGAGGCATGAATTTCAGTGCCAAAGTTTTAAAGAACATCCACATGGACAAATTAGTGTCAGCTGATCTTTAGTAACTGTCAGTGGGATAAGTACAATGTAATTTGAGTTAGTTCAGACCTTTGTTGCTTGTGTTAGTGCCAGCCCCTTAGACGTGCATAGTTAGAGACTGAAATGCATGCAGTTTATCTCCAGCTGAGAGCTATCTGGGACAGGTCCAAAAGTATGACTTGGGTCATACTTGGATGACTTTGGATGACGCATCCAAAAGTATCACTCTGGAAGAGCTGGTTACAAGATGCGTACGAATGTAGTGCAGCGCATCTCCAGAAGCAGCCTGTCTTGCCGTGTCTGATGTGTAATCTAAGCAGGAGGATAAAGCACTTCCTTTCCTAAACAACTATTAAGAACTCTGGGGGAACACAGGTTTCTTTTGCTTGTCCTACCAGAGGTTGTGTTTAGTTCATGCAAAGAGAAAATTCATTATCTCTGTCTTCTGAGATAGTTACGCATCTTGCCCTGGAAATTAATACTAGCCAAAGAAGCTCTCTTAACACAAATAAATTGTTTACTGAGCTTGTATTAATGAGACTTTTGAGGTAATTTTTTCAGAAAGGAATTTTTAATGGAATGAATTATATGCCCGATGTTTGAAGATTCCTTAATGTGCCACCTGTTAAAAGGGAGCCCCTAGATGTAGCCTAGAATCCATGTGTTTTGTTTGCGGTTACCGAGTGGTGTGGAGGGGGGAACACAAAAACCATTAAAAATTAAGAATTGCTTTGCTTGACTGTTTGGCTATAACAATATAAAATTCTCAGACTCCTCTTAATTTCCTTTTATGTTTTGATGTAGCTGGTCAAACATTGACTGAGTGTATTTCCCTTATAATGTACCATAGTTGGGTTTAAAGTAGCTTCCCAGGAGCAGTCTAACTATGGCAACAGATCCACCTACTTTACCCCCTAAAGTTGGAATGAATTTAAGGAAATAAATTTTAAGATTGGAAGTTGTTATTTTTTGTTTTGTGTGTTTTGTGTTTGTTTTTTTTTTTCTAGTTGACACTGTTGGGGAATGTCAGAAATCCTTATCACAGTTGTGTACATTCTCTGCACAGTATCTTCACTGTCTCCTGAAGTCAAACCTGGAAGAGCTTAATTTGAGCTCCAGTGAAACACTTCTTGCAGAGAACATGGGGTTATGAGGGATATAGCTTGTCCTAGATTTGCTGCATTTGCAGCATCCTTCACTTCTGTTAGCTCTGGCTATAGAGATGGGTGGTGGCATAGAACACTGCTTTTTGACTGCAGACATAGCTTGCAATATGATTTTGGTTTAACGTTGTGTTTCCATATTGGCTCCAGTACTGTCACATATAATAGTTTTCTGAAGAAAAGATTAAATTTAAAGAATATAGGCTTTTCTTTCACTGAAGATATCAGTATAGCTTTATGTATGGTGTTCTTTTCTGATTAGTGCCCTATTTCAGTATGACTACCTATGCTTTTTAGTAGTTGATGAGAAGTGAAAGTTGACAGATGATTTAGGGTACGATAAACGTATGTGTATGTGAATTTGCCCTTGTCTAAGTGCTTTTGAGGAAGTCAAATTGGGAGTTGTGTCTTCAGAAAATACAGTTCTTAACATGATGAGTGTTTCTTTTGTATATGCCAAGGGCTATATCCAGGAAATGCATTGAAAGGTGTTTCTTAAAGTAGGGTCAGTGTGCCTTGTGTAGAACTGTAAAGTGAATAAGAAACTGGCTGAAGGGTACATGACAATAGGTGTTGTGTTTGGGGAAAAACTACTACTATTCAGTGTCCTCAGGGATGAATATTAAGAGCAATTGTGCTCAACTTAGATGAAAATGAAAACCTTCTGTTGTTAGCACAAATCCAGTTCTTTAGGAGATGTAGTCAATACAAAGGAAACATGGTGCAGAAAGGACTTGATTACTCCAGAATAATAGGTGTAGTATGAAATTAAGGTGTGGTTTTTTAAAAGAAAAAAAAAGACATGATGAACTTGAACTATAAAAACAAGTTTCTACTGTAACTTGAGAGCTGCTCTGCTGGCAGCAATTGGGGAGGACAGTGTGGCTGGATTTAGCGATCGGAGGATGATGCTAAGTTACTGGTGTGATTCTCGGGTGAACATGTTGAAGCATTTTCATTACAGAAAGAAAGGCTTAGTGCTGTTATGTCTAGCCATAAGACTTTACCTGGAGTACTGCATACAAGCCTAGTTGTTCATAATTGAGAAACATGAACTGAAGCTGGAACAAGTACAAACAAGGGCTGTTACTTTTTTGCAGTACAAAAATATCCTGAAACAAAGAGCAGTACGAGGAGTAAGAACCCAGGATTGCAGCATGACAGGACAGTGGAGTCTATTCTTCGGCTATCATGGGCAACACATTCCTTTTCCTCAACTAGGTTCCACTCTAAAAATAGTTAGGATGCTGGCTTTTGCCAGTCGCTTCAGAATGCATGGTTAGGAACACTTCAGGATTGCAGGTTTCACTAAATGTAGAGTGAGACTGAATTAATATTTCTGAGTTTGCTTATTGACTTGTTTTGGTCAGTATGAAGGACACTTAATTTATGAATTCTCTTTTAATAAATCCTAAAG